TCCTCGCGCTGGCAAGCATACTGCCCCGCGCTGAGAACATGAAGAGCAGTGCTACACCCTTTTCACTTGTGCCTTTCAGGTGAACGACAGCCACTGACCGACAAGAACAAAACCGATCCGGGAAACTTGGGCAATAGCCTCGATCCTTTGTATCAATCCGTGAATCCGCGAATTCTGAACTGAAGTTCATTACTATGGTCACGATTACGCGTACCCAATTAGACAGGGTCTAAAAGGCATTTTAAAATGGTATTTCGTCCATCAGAGGCATTAGCGCTGAGTACAGTATTGGATGATGCTGCGCTACAGTTAAAAATAATTGTTGATCTCGTAGATCTGAGGGGTATGGTAGGTTCTTAAAACGTACCAAAATATGCTGAAGAAAAACGAGAAAAACGATTATGAACTCGAACTGCACAGATCACTTTTTGCTCAACTAAATAAAGTGCTGTCAAAATATTCACACAATACGGGTAAAGTTAACGATTTTGTTAATTTACTTTTCCAAGATTCTAGTAATTCAGTGGAGAAATATCAATCGAATAACAGTGCTGTGTTCGGTGAAATGAGAATGCTGATTGAAGATTCCTATACGAGCCCTGAGTACAGGAGAAAGCTTACAGCACACATGTAGGCCTGAATTTTGTGCGTAATGGTGCTGTGCTCAAGGGCAGAGGTAGTGGAGTTGCTTCAAAATTTGTCCCAGGAGCTTCGCACAAAAGGAACTTTCACAACACTGAAGGAGACTTTGAAGAAGGAAGAAGATCAATTCCGTGAAATGGAAGAGATTTTTTGCAGGTCACTATGTATACCGTTGCAGAATCTCGGTCAAATTAACGACACAGACTAATTTCATCATGCCTTGAGGGACAAAGTCATTTTAGCCAAACCGTCCATCTATGCCATTTAGATCCTTTAACTGAAACTATGTCAGTGCCAAAAGGCCACATAGAAGTTATGTCATGGCAAAGGACCACAGCCAGAAGTTCTAAGGCCTTGTATTTGCTCCGCAAACCTGACAATCGGGAATTCTACGACATGGCTCAGAGATTGATATTAGATCGGTAAACTGGCGACAGCATAGTCTTACGCATGGAGAGTAAATCTCCATGCAAATCCATCGACTTTTCGATATTTTTATTCAAAGATTGGCTGCTTTACTTCTCCCAATGTTCCAACAAGTTTGAACAGTAACGACTCACGAAAAATTCTCGAGCTTCAGAAGATAACTTAGGAAGCCCTGCTAGCCTTTCAGTCTTAAATCACCGCGAAGTAAATTACGACGTAAGGTCAACGCAGATATTCTGGCACTCCGTAAATCGAATAATTTCGGCGTGTAAACCAATGAACTAGCTGTCTACTTTTGCTTACATTCTTGGCTGAAAGTGTGCGAAATACTGGTTTACTACTAAGCAATGTTGGATCAACCTTTATGCTCAGAAAACTCATCAAAAAGTTAAATAAGCTCTGATGAGCTTGTCAAAAAATGGTTTCCACCGGATAAGTGAGACTATAGTGATTTTTAACGATGCAACTCATAAGTGGAATTAACGCAACAACTTGTCTTGTCAGGGTACGGCCTCTAAATCCTTACTTGCACCTCATAAAGTTGCTTATTCATACACCAGATGTGGTGAGCTAGAGGTCGGAACATTACACTGTTTACCCATTAGTACACTTGGAGCATTACATGATTCCAATAAGCAATACATACTGAAGTATGAAGGACTGAGCCAAAGATGCTGCGTCATAATTTTCATCATGAACAGAAGTACGTTCGTGGTAAATATTGATGGTGTTCTACAGAAGGAGAAAAGAAACTAAAGTTAAAGAGTAAGAATTTGATCCAAAGTCCAATCCTATAGCCTTAGAGTGAGCAATGAAGTGAGTACCTCTAAACATATATCAGAGTAGGATAAGATCTTTGTGCACTGTGTTCACAAAGGAATTCATTATAAAGCAATCAAAATAGTTCCCTGGAAACTGATTGGTAAAGAGGCAAGTTTTAAAAGATTCACTTCTCAGACAGTATGATGTTGCACACCAGTGCAATAAACCGAGAATACTTCCTAGACTAACAGTACCGCATAGATTTGAAACCATTGTGGAGTTGTGATCAGGCGTACAAACCGACGATGTACTACAGTTTAGTACTGTTTCAGGTCGCTTGACCACGTGCTATATCTACCAATGTGGTGAGGTTTCAGTTTATCCTGAAACGACGTCAGTACTAACGCTTGAAGTTTATTAGTGCACAGGTGGCCGTCAAGTGTGGCTTTGTGGGGTCCGGTTTCCGGCCATTCATGGGCTGCATCACTTGGCAGAGCATTCATACACCACCTAAGGAGCGTTTTTCACCGAAACCTGTGATAGCTCCCTTCAACAATAGACATGCACGAAGCAATACTCCAGAATGCTGCTGCTGATATTAGGTTATGAGATGAATTCCAGCTGCTCTACAATAGCTCAGAATGAAGGGCATATCGCTGTGTATGAGAACGACGAACCTTTTCATTAGGTTCTACCAAAACACAACCAAGACCTTTGATTCTAAAAGCGTACTTCAGTTTTCCGAGATGTATCCTATCTGATGTTTAGTGGTACAACGTGCAAACAAACGTGAATTAAAAGTCATGATCGTCTTAACTTTGCTGCAAATTGTTTGATATTAATTCACTCCGAACGGTTAGCATGTGGAACTTTCACTAACCTAGAACAAATATGATATGTCACTGTCGGTAGCAGCTATCTTGCAATCAACCAGGCAAATTGTTTTCTATTTGAGACGGCATCGAGTTGGAATGCGTGATATACCTGAGAGGGCCATTCTTTGAGTTTACTCTCAGTCGCCAGTGATTTACAACCGTATTACTGGAAACAGTCTGTTTGTCGATGAGAAAAGGCTCGTGAAGTTAGTTCATTCCATAAAAAGGGTACCCAAAAGGTTTCTGAAAACTCTTCGGCAGCCCACGATCGGTTTCGCCCTTCTGCTTCGGGGCTCATCAGGTAGGCGAAGTCTCCAAGTTTCCGTCAACCTTATCTTCACTCCACTTTCAAAGACCAAAGAGAACCAAAAAAGTATATGCGCAAGCAATTTATTACAAGCACTCTATACGACTTTCTTTCAAACCTTTCGATGCTAGGGAAAAAGAGTCACGTGAAAAAATCAACGCACTGATGTCGGACATTGAAAAAAGCAAGAAGGACGGGGTTCGGTTGATCGAGCGAAGTAAAGAGATGATTGCAAACCTGAAAGACCAGGTGCAGGTGAGTGAGGTCTATAGGCTTGTGTTAGCTGATGCGCAATTAATGACAATGAGAAATAATATACAAAGAGTTTAATCATATGGAAGATAATATGCCCATTGTGAACCAACTTTCTACTCAGCCACATGACGTGACTACTCATGAGTAGCCAGACTATTTTGCCTGGAAAATTAGCTGATGCTTGTGGAAGAAGCGATAGGTGTTAAATTGTAGATCTGAATTTTCAAAACCGTGGACTATGGGGGATCGTAAGATGCTGGGTTTAGCAAGGTATTCATAGAGTATAGGAAGAACCAGTGATAGTTACTGGGTAAGAACCCTTCCACCTCGCCGTGCATTCCCGTCGCTTTGAGCATTTGGAGACACTGATGATCTCTTTTGCACAAGCTTACCTTCAGCCTTTACTGTTATACGGGTTCTAGTAGACTCGATGGTGAACCAAATCGAAGACCCACAACAAAATAATTCATCTCGGCTAGTCGGCAATAAGCACTCAGTCCTAATCGTCAACCGCCGAGTAAGTTTATCGCCAGTAGTATGCATCTTGCCCAAACTGGGTACACTGGGTAATGAAATCAGCCAGACGAAGCTTTCTTGCTAGAAAACGTTTTAAGAATGCACGTATTCCAGATATGTACGCAGGTTTAGGTTACGCTAGTTTATCATGATATTCAAGTGAGGTGTAAAACAAGCAGGACAAGACAAACATACGGTGTTTGTGGCCATCGAATTGGTTTCTGTATCCTGGAGATGAAAATGAGGGATTGATACGTCATTACCATAGAATTCGACACCTTTGATATCTTTATTGAGAGAGGTGTCGTTGTAAAGCGAGGAGGTTGCATGCACGCCTTGTTTAGTATTAAAGAATCGGTATTTTCAACCAACCTCAGTGCAGCGGTTTTACACGTTCTACTCATTTTTCAGGAACTGAAAGCCAGATCCATCATGGAGGGAAAATATGTGGCACGCTGCTCAGCGGTCGAGTTGGACGAGACAGAATATCAGTGCCAAGCGCGTGAACAACAATTGGCCGAAGAAATCAAGCAAGTCGCCGTAATGCGGGACCAAGAGAGTCGTGTTGCCTCGGAAACCCAATCGTTCCTACGGGATAGAGTTGGCGAATTGAACGAGGTATGACGACCGTGATGGTTTTCGGCTTACATCCCTCCTACTCAAATCAATTTGAGCAGTTGGATTGGCGTTGTCGGTAGATACTCGGTTGACGTCGGAATTCGGCAGTACGCCTTCTAGTTGTTGATCACCATGATAGAAAATCGTAAATATGTATTCGGGATTTCACTGTGATCTTCCCCGGTGTGGGATAATCACCATTCCAACCATGAGGGCGGTTTAGTGGTGCTGAGATCTAATGCCGGATATTCAAAGTTAAGATCTCAGGAAAGTTCATTTGCTTTAAGCTAGCACAATTTCTTCACTTATACGTTACTTTTACTGAGCGTTCTTTCCAATGAATTAACCTACCCAACGTCCGGTACACGCCCGCTATAAAACACAAAGCATACACCAGGGCTGTTATTGTCGAGTCACACAAGCCTAGACAGGTTCAATAAGAATGCCAAGATTGAGCCACGGCCTATGGCCTTGACTTCTAATAGCTGAATCGTGCATCTACGGCACCTCAGCGCATGGTTGATTGGCTAGGAAAAGCGCGTTTGTGTTTCTTTCATTCATGAAATTTCCACACGGGAAACCCCCCCTGGGGAGAAGTGTACTTTACACCGCCTTGAAATTTAAGGACTTTTGGTAATGTGGAGAGATTTTGAAGCC